GGGGGGGGGCGTACTAGGCAGAAAGCTCTGACGAATTTGAAACCCCAAAAGGTCTAGCTTCAGCAGCGTTTTCTTTCCTTTTTGTATTTTTACATTTTTTTTTAAATCTAAGTTATATTGTCAATCATCAAATATAATAATCGATAGGGCCGGTGCTTACTACCCAAAACCTCTCAACTTCGTGGGGTTCTCATGCCTATTGGTGGAGGGAGCAGAAGAACTAATTTCAGTCGGGCTTACTTTCTTAAATTGTAATTTTCTTTATGAACAGTTCTTTTAAATCCGTTAACAGTGTAATATATCCCGGTAAAATCATTTTTTATTCCGAGATCATCCACTAAGGAGAATCTCTGATTATTTTTTTACTAATAGTAATACTAACCAGAAGTCCACGGCTAGTAATTAAAATAAAAGTTTCTAGTCCCTATTTTTTTTACATTTCTAGAAAGATAAAACATTGAAAATGATCGCTAAAAAAATGTTTAAAGCTTTCAACACATGAAAAATTTTCTCGAAAACAGAAATACTGTTTTTAAAACAAATTTTTAAGGCAATCCCGTTTGTGTTGTGTTGGAATCTTTGTAAAACGTATTAATCTTTGTGGAAATATAAAAATTTGCGACTTAAACATATTTTCGAGTAAAATTTAGTTATGAAAATATTGGTGGTTATTACAAAAAATTAGCCTTTTTAAAATAAAACTAATTATAAAAGTAATTAATTACAGAATATGTAGGGAAATTTTTATTTCAATTAGATAATTTCATGATTTTTTGTAACTGAAAAAAATAAGAGCTGCCCTTAGTTCTAGGGTTTATGGTCTCCATGTTGGGAAACTCTGAAGTCGGCATGTAATAGAGAGTGTGGGGGGCCCGTATCAAAGTTTTGGGTAGTGGGGTCCAACACACTAGCACCGGCCCTGCAAGTATATTGCAGACAGAGTTTAGTAAGTTTCCGTGTGTGTTTAAATGCAGAGATTTTGTATACTTTGTACCTAGAAAAAAAACACTTGTACGAACAAAAGAAAAATTAAATAAAAAGTTTAATCGCAGTACCTTATCAGTCGTTTTTAACGCAACTTTAATATATATATGTCTATATTTCTGAGATGAGGTGTTATGTACACTATTTACATTATTCGGACTATTGTCCTCATCTTTGTCGCCATATTTATTACAACGTTTCGGCCTTTCAGTATCTGTCTATATTTCGGAGATGAGGTATTATGTACATTATTTACATTATTCGGACTATTGTCCTCATCTTTTTTGCCATATTTATTACAAAGTTTCGGCCTTTCAGTATCTGTCTATATTTCTGAGATGAGGTATTATGTACACTATTTACATTATTCTGACTATTGTCCTCATCTTTGTCGCCATATTTATTACAACGTTTCGGCCTTTCAGTATCTGTCTATATTTCGGAGATGAGGTATTATGTACATTATTTACATTATTCGGACTATTGTCCTCATCTTTGTTGCCATATTTATTTCAACGTTCCGGCCTTTCAGTATCTGTCTATATTTCTGAGATGAGGTATTATGTACATTATTTACATTATTCGGACTATTGTCCTCATCTTTGTTGCCATATTTATTTCAACGTTTCGGCCCTTCAGTATTTGTCTATATTTCTGAGATGAGGTATTATGTATACTATTTACATTATTCGGACTATTGTTCTCATGTTTGTTGCCATATTTATCCCTTTAAAGGGTTCAGTTCAACATTCCAACCACCTGAAGAAGGTCAGAGCGTACAACGGCCGAAACGTTGTGATAAATATGGCAACAAAGATGAGGACAATAGGAAATTTTCGCTAGAGGATGAAACAGGGTTTGTTACTTTAATTCAATTTAATATGAATAATTATATTGATGGTTTCGGCTCTCTTTTTTGAAACATGAGAAGTATTATGTAGCGAAGGAATCATATTTTAAAAAAAAAATATTATATATATATATATATATATATATATATATATATATATATAATAATCAAGAAGAAAACCTTAAAGATTCATTCCGGTTACAATTTATTTTGTGATTATCTATATATTAATAACTTCAGACCAAAATCTTTTAGATTCCTAAATGATTTTGGTCTGAAGAGATGAATATATAGATAATCACAAAATAAATTTAAATCGAATGAAATTTTAAGAACCTTTCTTGATTATTATTATTATTATTATTATTATTATCTATAGATTACATTGAGCTTTCCTTGGATTAATATCCTCCTTGGAATTATCTCCACCAGTCACAAATTGATAATATATATATATATATATATATATATATATATATATATATATATATATATATATATATACGCATAGAGAGAAAAGAAAGGGAAACGGAAAGGAAGAGAGAGAAAGTGTGTGATAGAGAGAAAAAGAAGGTGAGACAAAGGGAGAGGGAAAGAGAGAGAGAGAAAGTGTGAGAGGAAGTATGTGTGTGTGTGACAGAAAGAGACAGAAAGCGAAAGAATATAAATTTGATCGTGTATGAAAGGAATTTTTGACATTCTTTTTTAATAAAACATACTTAGAGAAAGGTTGGTTGCCTAAATAAACCATGCCTTTATATATATATATATATATATATATATATATATATATATATATATATATATATATATATAGAGAGAGAGAGAGAGAGAGAGAGAGAGATAGATAGATAGATAGATAGATAGATATACGCGCAGACAGAAAGAGAAAGGGAAAGAAAGAGAGAAAGAGTAAGTGATAGAGAGAAATAAAAGAGAAGGAAAGAAAGAGAAAGTGTGAAGTGTGAGAGGGAGTATGTATGTGTGAGAGAGAGAGAGATAAAGTGAGAGAATGAGAGAGAAAGTTGGTCGTGCATTCAAGGAGTTTTTCGACATTCTTTTTAATACAACATGCTTAGACAAAGTTTGCTGCCTAAATAAACTACGCTTTCAGTGTATATATATATATATATATATATATATATATATATATATATATATGTATATATATATATACGTAGATATATATTTTTCGTATGCATATATATATATATATATATATATGTAATATATATGCATGTATATCTATATGTGTATTTTCGAGTATTAATGAATCAATGTTGTATCAGGCAATCATGCAGTTCATGGCGTACAGTTTTGATAAATTCTCATCGGCAACCAACTATGCCACACGGTGCTTTCCGTGTATGGATATTTCTAAAGAAATACGTCTAAATGGAAACAGATTATAAAAATGAAAGGAAAAAAAAGAAAAAGAAACAAAGATTATGAAGACGCGGAAGAAAAATGAAAACAAGAAAGAAAAAAAATGAAGAAATGAAGAAAAATGAATTAAAATTATGTAAAAAAAAGTACCTCGGAAACGAAACGAACAATAAACAAAAACAAAAGCGTGGAGGTTAAAAAAGG